AGTACTGAACTATGTTTGAGATAAATGCTGTAACTAAAACTGGAAGAGCACAATGACAGTGTCTAGCAGAAGGAAAAGAACTAGCCTGGGAATTTGCAAAACAACATGGCAGGACTGATATTTGAATGAAGCTTTAAAACACTGTTCTCCTGTAATCCCAGCACTTTGGGAGGCCGAGGCAGGTGGATCACCAGGTCAAGAGATCGAGACCATCCTGGTCAACATGGTGACACCCCGTCTCTACTAAAAATACAAAAAATCAGCTGGGCATGGTGGCACGTGCCTGTAGTCCCAGTTACTCGGGAGGCTGAGGCAGGAGAATTGCCTGAACCCAGGAGGTGGAGGTTGCGGTGAGCCGAGATCGCGCCATTGCACTCCAGCCTGGGTAACAAGAGCGAAACTCCGTCTCAAAAACAAAAACCAACAAACAAACAAAAAACCAAAAAACACTGTTCTCTCTAACAGTAATATAATTTAAACCACAAATACAATTTTAAGTCTTTAGTAGCTACATTAAATAAAGAAAGAAGAAGCAGATGAAATTGATATTAGCAATATAATGTAATATATATATATATCAATATAATGTAATATATCAAAAGTATTATCGTTTCAATATGCAATTGTTATCAGATGGAAAGTCTTGACTATAACTTGTTCAGGTTCTTGGTGTGTTGAAAAGAGAACTGAACAGAACACACAAACAAAGCAAGAAAACAAGAAAAAAGCAACAGAAGTGCAGTTTTATAGAAGCTAAAGTACTCTCCACAGAGTTGGAGAGAGCTTCAGCAAGCAGCTCAAGAGCCCTGACTGCAATGTTCTTTGGGGTTTTTATTAACGTAAAAAAATTTGGTAACACCCCTAAGTCTCCTTGAGGCCTCCAATTGGTTATACCATATGAAAGATTGGCCCACAACTAATTAGAGGCTGAAGTGGAGGCTTAGCCTGCAGTCTATCAGAGGCTGAAGTGGAAACTTGTTATCACAGGAGTAAGGATGTGGCCTGTATGCTCCTTAATCTTGCCTAGAACTGACCACATCTGTTTTTTCTTTTTATGTTTTAACCCTTGGCTACTCTAATTTCCTATTCTCCTGCCTCACAAAAATTAGTGATGAACTATTTTACATTCTTTATGCTTGTGTGTGTATATATTTTGACCATGTCACTGGGGTGTGATTGGCATACAAAAAGCCGTACATGTTTAATGTACACAACTTAATGTGTTTGGAGATAACTATACATATATGAACCATCACCATCAATTCTGTAAATGTATCCATTACCTCCAAAAGGTTTCTCCCATCCCCCTCCCCCCTTTTTTTTCTGTTATCATTCTGTTTTGGCTTTTCCTTTTGTAGTAAGAGCACTTAACAGAAGATCTACCATTTTACAATTTTACTACTAAGTATTTGACATCCAGTGTATAGTTTAGTATATCTACGTAACAGATCTCAATTCTAACCAGCCACATATCAAGTGCCCAGTAGCCATATGGCTGCTGGCTTCCATAACAGCCAGTGTAGCTTTAAAGAACTAACCAGGCAAACTAGAGAAGAGAAATTTTACAGACAGAGACAAGATCCCAGTAAGAGCAAAGTAGCAAGGAGAAGTAGAGAAAATAAAACAGCTTGTCTTGCAGAGAGCACAGGTTTCAAGTAAAGTAGCATAAAACAGAGCTAAATTACATGGATTTTTAGAGTTCTTGTTAATGCCATATGTTGTATTCATTATTCTATGTGTTATGAGAGGTAACTGAAAATTTTAAGTAGGGTATACAGGTATTGATTAGGATTTCAAAAGATTGCCTTTGCTGCCATGGGAAGAATGGATTGAAGGGGCAAGAGTGGATATGAAGGAGAGTATCCAGGAATTACAATTAGCACTTGCCATAGTCTGGGCAAGAGCAGGTAATAACAAAGACTGGGGAATGTAGTGAAGAGATTCAAGATGTTTAGGAGGTAAAATCAAATAGACGTTTTTTTTTTGCCCTTTAGAAACAAGGTCTGGCTCAATTGCCTGGCTGGAATGCACGGTTGATCACGGTCCACAGTACCTCGAACTCCTGCTCAAGCAATCCTTTCACCTCAGCTTTCCAAACTGCTGGGATTGTAGATGTGAGCCATCGCACCTATCCAGGCTTTTCTTTTTCTTTTTTTCTATTTGAGAAGTGAATTACCTAGAAGAGGAGTAAAAACTATTTGCTTTGTTTCTAGCTTTCCCGGAGAGGTAAATGTTATGCAAAATTTGAGGGATGAAATTGGTTAGCTCCGAGTTAGACATATAAAGTTTCAAGAACCAATTAAATTATTTAGTTAGATAACTGGAGATATTTTGAGGACTGGATATATAGGAGTTGAACTAAAATTAGTGATCTGATCTGGTATTTGAATTTGAGAATGGACAGCATTGATCCTTGCAGATCGTCAGGTCTCAGGGATGGCTCAGCTTTGTAGCTTCAGGGTTTAGTTGCCCGACATATAACTGGCACTAAATAAATGTTTCTTGAAAATGCTTTGTTATGACCCCCTTTCTTCCCATGATGAGGTGGTAGGTAAGACTGACAAGCCAGGCAAATAGACCTTCAGCAGTATTCAATTTGTGCACTTGTAATTTCCCCCCGCATTTTCACACTAATCCTAATTAATGATTGCAAGGCCTGGGTGTGGCCCATGTACTAGTGTCCTTGAGTCCAAACATGGGTTAATGAATTTATATGGTTATTTCTCATTATTAAAGTCATAAGCACGTTTAACAAATCACTTTGAACCTAAAAGGTAAAACATTTTGAAGACTATTAGTAAAATGTAGTTATAAAATTGTATTATGTAAATAAGAGAACAAAATCCATCCCAATTAATTCCGTCAGTAAAATTAAATCAATACAAGGTTTTCATATAATGCGTCCATGGCTTTTATCGTCTTGACACACTTACATCTAGGATTTTTCAAAGAAAAAAGTCTGTTTAGACTTGACTTTTCCATCCTTTTGAAGTTTTTTAATGCTGGTCACAGCCACAGTTCCTTTCTTTTGCACATAACAATAAAATATGACATCTTAATTATTCAGGAAAACCTGCAAAGTTTCAAGCTTTGAAAGCTGTCTAGAGCACCTGTACATCCCAGTGATATGAAAATCATCACCCCTCAACTGTAATTGTATTTAATGTAAAATAATATCAGTGACTTACATATGCCTAAATTTAGGAACTAATAAACCAACATTAGTTTAAAATGTCTATCATGCTGCACCTTGTACAATTCTAGAAGTGTTAAGAAATTAAATTCCTACCCTCAGTAAACTGACACTATGGTTGAGAAAGCAAAGTGAATTAAAGAGAGAAACTTTCATGACAAAATATGTGTTATTAGACAGGGAAATTGAGTAGCTTTGTATTTACTAGATAGAGAAAAGGTTTAATAGGGATGCTTGTCGTGTTTTCTTTTGGCTGAAATGAGGATTAAGTTAGGTAAGTGAAAAAGGGCTGAATTTTCCTCTGTGAGTCTTTTTACCATAAATATGGTGGAAACAAGAATAAAGAGCATTCTCAGGCCGGGCGCGGTGGCTCAAGCCTGTAATCCCAGCACTTTGGGAGGCTGAGGCGGGTGGATCACCAGGTCAAGAGATCGAGACCATCCTGGTCAACATGGTGAAACCCCGTCTCTACTAAAAATACAAAAAATTAGCTGGGCATGGTGGTGCGTGCCTGTAATCCCAGCTACTCAGGAGGCTGAGGCAGGAGAATTGCCTGAACCCAGGAGGCGGAGGTTGCGGTGAGCCGAGATCGCGCCATTGGACTCCAGCCTGGGTAACATGAGTGAAACTCCATCTCAAAAAAAAAAAAAAAAAAATACAAAAAAAAGAATAAAGAGCATTCTCTAGAGAGGTGGTTAATAATAAGTCTGTTAACAGGTTGGTTATAACAATGCTCTCAGAGACTATGCTGGTCCATTTTGCATTGCTATAAAAAATGCCTGAGGTTGAGTAACTTATGAAGAATAGAGGCTTACTTGGTTCGTGTTGCTGCGGGCTATCCAGCAAGCATGGTACCACCATCTGCTCAGTTTCTGGTGAGAGTCTCAGGAAGCTTATAATCATGGTGGATGGTAAAGGGGGAAGCCCACATATCACATGGAGAGAGGAGGAGAAAGAGTGAGAAGGAAGAAGTTCCAGACTGTTTTAACCAACCAGATCTCTCATGAAATGAGCAAGAAATCACTCATCACCAAAGGGATGGCACTAAGCCATTCATTAGAGATCCGCTGCCATGATCCAATGCCTCCCACTGTGGTCTACTTCCAACATTAGGGATCACATTTCAACATGAGATGAAGAAGGGACACACATCTAAACCATATCAGAGACATTTAATAACATTGTGTTAAATGAATAAATAAACTATAAAATGTAACAGTAATTTACATTTTTGTCACATTTTGATGCTAGTTACTTTTTCTTAACTATAGAGTCATTTTGAAATTAAGGAGAGATATGTGATAAGCACTCTGCTAACTGTTGTGGTCAAAAGAAATGGATAAGAAATAATTCCTGTCCTCAGATCATTTCCTTCCAGTATCATTTTCTTATTTGGGACCATCATCATTTTTCATTTGGACTTTTAAACTAAAAGCCTTAATTTCTCTCCCCATTCAGTCATCCACATGCTGTCAAGAACATTTTTCTTAAGTACAAATCTAATCAAGTTACTGTTCTGCTTAAAATTCTTCATAAATTTGTGGTGTATGTTGCATAAAATCTTGTTTCTTTAATATAACATAGACATTTCTTAATACTTTGCATTTTTTGTGGCCACCTTGTTTATATTGAAGTTGCACAAAACTGTTTACGGTTTCCCAAATGTACCTTGTTCTTTTGTGGCTCTGGTTCAAGGATAGTGCTTTGAACATATTTTCATTGATATATATACTATTTTGATATTGTTTGGCTCTGTGTCCCCACCCAAATCTCATCTTGAATTGTGGTCCTTTAATTCCCATTTATTGTGGGAGATAATTGAATCATGAGGTTAATTTCTCCCATACTATTCTTATGGTAGTGAATAAGTCTCACGAAATCTGATGATTTTATCTGGGGAAACCCCTTTCACTTGGCTCTCATTCTCTTTCTTGCCACCACCGTGTAAGAAGTCCCTTTCACCTTCTGCCATGATTATGAGGTTTCCCTAGCCATGTGGAACTTTAAGTCCATTAAACCTCTTTCTTTTGTAAATTGCCTAGTCTTGAGTGTGTCTTTATCAGAAGGATGAAAATGGATTATTACATATTTTAAAATAATAAATTTAACTCACCTCCTTATTCTCTTTTGTTTTGGAGATGATGCTTGGACTGAGGCATCATAGGGTTAGATTTCAGACTGTGATTGCTAGTCTGGACTTGCAGGGTGTAATATATGATGGTATAGGACTTTGACTATTGAACTGAGAATTTGGTAGCAATGTGGAGCTAATGAAGGTTACATTCTCATTTTACCTTGTTTGTTTGTAGTAATTTGCTTAAATGTGTGTCTTAAGGCCATAGTATCAATTGCACCAATGTTAGATTGCTGGTGCCTCCTACAACGTTTAGGAGTGTATTGTGGTAATACAGATATAATGGGATTATATTCTGTTTTGAGGTGGGCTTAGAAATAAAAGGGGAAAATCACATTTATGGTAATTTACCTTGAAATCTAAACATAGAAAGTACACGAATAAAATTATTCAAGTTTTTAAAAAATAAGCAACAGTTATAATAAAAATACAGTAATATATGATTGTCTTATGGTGATAGTGTTATCTAAATGCTTCTGCAAAAATTGATTAAACTTCCAGAGTTGACTGACTCCTGAAGTATAGAACACAGATCCAAAACATAATAAACAAATATTTCTCTGTGAGATTCTCTCTTGTTGTGAAAATCTAATAAATATAAATAGAACAAAGTTGTTTACTACTGAGCATGAGTTACATAGTATTTCCATTCTTCAAGAAACTAAAAATTCAGAAAGAACACACATCTAAAGGACATTTTCTCTATCTGTTTGTCATTTTATTAATTAGTGGCCAGAGCACTATGGGACACTTTAGAAAGATGTGGTTATTTATGTTATGTTGTTCTGGTATAGTTTTGCTAATAGCTAGGTAACTACATAAAATGGAAGTAGAGAAATGAGAATACTTTTCACTAATTTTTAAGGATTGGGGCTTCATAATAGTTCAACTAAGTAAAAATTTAAAGAGGATTAAGTAAGATTTTGATACAACAGGTAACAGGTAGATTTTCCTTTTCTTGATAGTATCATTGTAGTTATCTGTAGCTTAAATTTGAAGGTAAGCCAATCACTATATGTTCCTAATCTTCTGGTTTCGATTCCTCCCCCGCTGCCCCTAGTTTCCGGTATTTCTCAAATACATAATGCTATCTCCTAGTTTAGCATCAGTCTTTCCAATTTTATTTGTGAGTCTCTGGGAGCCAGTAAAGCTTCAGGTGAGGAGATAGATTTATAAAGCAGGAGATGATTTGAGGGTATAAAGATAAAGATGTGAAGAAAGAAATGGTAGATATGAGGAAGTATTAATAAAATATTTTACACATGAAATGTCAAGGGGACTATGACGTGTTTATCTGTAGTTGGCTTAGAGGCATCTCTTGGAAGTTTTTATTTTCTTAATGACCTTTATTTCCTTTGACAAAAGTCCTATTATTATATTATATAATCCTGGTACTCTGTCATATAAATGATGAACAGACAAAGTGGAAGGCAAATTTTTAGGAATGACTCAGTGTTCCATCAATCTTTATTAATATAGTGTCTACTACATGAATAGATAGCAATGTCAAACCTGTCCTTGTTATCACAAGTTTGTTATGATGTCAGGCACTTTGTAAATCATGAGCACAGGGTCATCAAATGAAGGCTAATGTCCTCTGGCTGAAGAGTTGTGTAGTCATACTATTTGTCATAAATATCCATTTATTATTTTACTTTCAAAAAATATAATCTAAAAATCTGATTTTTCATGTAGCCTATATCAAAAGAAAAAGGCCTGAAATAATAGAAATTTCTTGATTGTTAAGAATTTATATGAAATTATTTATCTCATAAATTTTATCCATATACATTTGATTTAACTTGCATTTATATTTTAATTCAGTGAAGTGAATAGTTTACATACACAATTTCCCACCTCTATTATATGAGTCTTTTATTAACTACTATGTAAAACAATTCTTAGTGCTTAGTATGTGCTGCACTGTGCAAAAAATAACTGTAATTATTGCACTACATTTTACTATTTCAGTAGGAACAGATTTCCATTTCAAATAGTCAGCATTCACACACAGGTGAATAGATGGCATATAGCAGATTTCACTACTCATGAAAACTTGATAATCTTGTCAGCTGTAAGATCTTTTTGTATTGACATTTTGTTTCTTTCCTGAATGGGAGTGAATTTCTATTTTATGTTTGGGGGTAACTCACTACTTATGGTGGTTGGAAGCTCAAAATTGATAATAAGAATTCTACTACAGAAATCAGATGATAATATAAATGTCTTGTTTAATGTTCTGAATGTTTGCAATAAAAACTTTATATTATTTTTATCTGAACAGCTATAGGGGGAAGCAGGAAAACTCAATTATATGTGTAAAATAGTATAAAATGGAGCTGTGTATAGGAAGGATTGCTAGATGCATTAACAAAAGCAAGTATTTCCATCTTCTATAGGAATAGGAATTTTAGCTAGTCATGTGGACATCAAGTTGAAGATTACTTTCTTGGACACCCTCCTAGTTAGATGTGGCCATGAGATTAGCTTCTGGCCAATCAGATGTGAAAGGAAGCAATATATGCTATTTCAGAGTTATGTGGTTTAAAAGAAAAGGGGTACCCTCTTCCTGTTTTTTCCCTATTGTAATTTTGTTGGAATGTGGATGTAATGGTGGGAGTTAGAACAGCCATCTTAGACATGAGATAAGACCTGCATGAGGAAGCTGACAAGGCCACAAACTGGCAGGACCTGGATTATTTGATGTCATGAAACAGATTGCTTCCACTTGGAAAGGGTTATATATTTACCTTTTACCTGAGCCACTGCTATGCTTTTCATTTTTTATAACAACCACACCACATCCTAAATAATGCAACATCTAAATCATTTCAAGAAAATATACAGATCTTAGTGAAAGAAAGATTTTTGTGGGGACCAAATTAGCCAAAGGAACTGTCTGACTTGAACATATTAATAGTAGATCAACACTACCTAACAGAATGTACTGAGATGATATAAATGTTTTCCATTGTCCAATTCAATAGCTATTAGCCATATTAGATATTGGGCATGTGTATATGATATACTATATTAGATTCTGCTATTGCATTTTCCAAACCGTGCAATTTTATGTTCCCATTTGCAGTTTATGAAATTTCCACAGTTCCTCCTACACTCTAATTCTTAGTACTTTTAATTTTAGCCATTGTAGTATGTTGTTTTATTTTAGTTTTAGCTTGTGAATTTCCCTCATCACTAATAATATGAGTATCTTTTCTTATGTTTAATTGGCTGTTTGGGTGTCCTTTTTTTTTTAGTTGCTATTAACACCTCTTGTTCATTTTTCTATTGTTTTTCTTTTTTTCATTCCTTTATGGAATTAAAAAATGAATTCTGAACCTAATTACTTTTGTCATTTATATGTGTTACAAACTTACTGATCTAGTCCAAGATTTTTCTGTTTGGTCTCTTGATGATGTCTTAATAATCAGAAATTCTTGATTTTATTGTAATCTAATTTATAAATTTTCCATTTATTCATGCATTTTGCATCCTATTTAAGAGGGCTGATCCTAACTCCAGCTCATAAAGTCCCTTGTATTATCTTCTAGTAAATTTTGTTTTGACTATCATAATTAGATTGAAATAACCCAGTTGTTACTTTTTTTCTGTGTATAGTTAAAGATAGTATTCAAATTTTTTTTTCATATGTATATCTATCCAGTTAACCCTAATGCCGGGTGTTAAAAAGACTGCTTCCCAGGGTGAGAGCCACCAAGGGAGGGTGAACCGAGACAGGGCAGAGTGTGTCCCCACCTGGAATGTGTAGCTGGCTTAGAGGGTTGGGGATTTCACCCAGTTGGTGCTCCAGTTTGGATCCTGTGCTTACCTCCTCCCTCCTGCAACCCATGATCCACGAGAGCCCTGCTATACTGAGGGGCACCATGGGTTGTTGATGCAAATCTGAGTGACGGCTCCCGCCTGGTGCTGCAAGTTTTCACATGGATCTGGGCAGAAGTTTGGACTAACGCCAGCAGGATGGACCCATCCCACAGAAAGACAGAGTTGAAAGCAGGGAAATAGGACATAAGGCCTGGAAGACACCACCCCCACAGAACTCAAACTGAAGCTTGTACTCTAGAGAGCTTGGCAGTGAATACACCAGTTTGGCTCTAACCATGAAGATTGAGCTGGAGGAAGGAGAGACGCCATTGGGAAGGCGAGGCTAATCTCACCTGCCAACAAACTCCAGGGGAGGACAGCCCCCCCCAGCAGCCTGACTGATTCCAAGGCAGCCCAGCAGCACCTCTACAGTCCAAAAAATATATAGCTCCAACCTAAACAGAAAGGACGTCCACTCAGAGATTCCTCCTGAAATCGCCAACATCAGAGATCAAAGGGAGATAAATCCATGAAGATGGGAAGAAACCAGTGCAAAAAGGATGAAACCATCAAAGACCAGAACACCTCTTCTCCTCCCAAGGATCACAACTCCTCACCATCAAGGGAACAAAACAAGACAGAGAATGAGTTTGACTAATTGACAGATCAGCAAGACAGAAAGTCAACAAGGATATCCAGGACTTGAACACAGATCTGGACCAAGCAGACCTAACAGACATTTACAGAACACTCCATCCCAAATCCACAGAATACACATTCTTCTCAGCACCACATCACACTCTAAAATTGACCACATAATTGGAAGTAAATCACTCCTCAGCAAATGCAAAAGAATGGAAATCATAACAAA